AATTTGTCGTGGTCGCTGCAGTATTAGCCAATTTCATTGCCAATGAATAGTGCAACCGGCTTTCGCTTTGCTTAATCTCGCTCAAGTCACAAAGAATGAGCGGTGGGCTCGCCCCATTTTAAAGATCGTACCTGATTCTGGCCGTTCTTAAGCCTAAACATACCTCGTAACTGTTGACATGGCGACGTATTGCTACTCCGTGGCTAAAAGCTCGTTCACGCAAACCTTTTCTTTATTTTTTTTTTATTTTTTTTTTTTTTTACGTTACGTTACGAAAAGTCACCGGGAAATCTGTGCTTCGTATTGAACTGTGCCAGCAGCAGGTCGATCCGGTCGAGGATGGCCCGCGTTGAGAATTCTCTTCCGATTGTTTCGGAGACCCTTTCGGCAATTGAAGTCCATCTCCTGGAATCCTGGAATGGGTTAGTGGCGTACACTTCGCGTAGCACATAAATGTCATCGTCGATCGAGAAGCGAACGCGCGCGGGAGCCTTCTCTTCCGCCATTTTCTTCTGACCTTAGATCGGCCTAAACTCGTTCGGCCACCCCGCTTTGGGTGTAGCCGAAACAATCCAATCCGAAGCGCTCGAATAGGGCGCTTGTTCTCGTAGTAACATAGAGAGTTGAGCTAGTTGGTACTTAGGAGACATACCTAAAACAGCGCACAAGCACAGGAGGAGGATAACAAAACACAGGTAGGGGCGCTGACTCCCAACTTATGTATTGTGAAAAAAAGAGAAAGAGAAAGCTTTAGATATGAAGTCCACGTCACCCACGTTGTTGTTTTTCTTTCCTCTTTTTTCTCATCTTTTTTTCGTCGTGACCTTATAATGTCAGCTTTCTCCTTTTCTACTGCAACTTAGTAATGTACCTGTTCTTATTCTTTCTTCTTTTTACCTTGTGGGTGCGCGTGGGCTTCATGTCTGAAGCTTCCTCTTTCTCTTTCTTTCACAATACATAAGTTGGGAGTCAGCGCTCTTTTCCTGTGTTCTATTTTCTTCCTCCTGTGCTTGCGCGCTGTTTTAGGTATGGCTCGTTCTCGAACTTTTTGGGCGTTCGTGTGCGCTTTGACCATCTGCAGCCGAAGATTTAGGCCTTGAACTATGCCGAGACTGAGACGAACGCGAGCGCGCATACTCTGCGAGCAGCTGCACTATTTAGATCTGAGCTGGAGCGACTTTGAAGCCTTGAGAGAGAGAGAGAGAGAGACATGTTTTTATTTGATGAGGGGTTCACCCGCTATGGAGTTGTGCTCCTGAGACGGGAGGGGAAGGGTTGTGAAGGGTGAGGGGGTGAGGGAGGTTTCATGATCAAGGTAGTGACGTCTTAGATGAGGCTATGTACACCCGACTCCCTGATATACTGTATCAAGGAGTCGAGGATGGCTTTCCTGTGCTGAGGAGTGCCCGTTGGATTGGTCCACTCCTCGAGCGTCGTAGGCTTGTCTACGCCCTGGATCTTGTCCAGAGCATCATTTCTATGATGCTCGAGGCCCTTACAGGCCCAGAGCAGATGCTGCAATGTTGCCTCGGCTCCTTCCGAGCAGCTCGTGCAGGTTGGGTCCATATCTTCTTTCAGTCCAAAAAATACTAGTTTGGATGGTGTAAGTGCAGTATTCGTTCTTATTCTTCGAATCCTGACGGTTTCCCACCGACTGTATCCTACCAGCATATTGCTGTCTGTCGGCGGAAGCTGGCTGCGAAGGTAGGCCTTTCTCTCCAGTTTGGCGAGTTCGGCCCATTCCTCCGGGTCTATTGCTCCCGCCTTCATCTTCTCCCGAGAGGTTGAGCCTGGTGCGGAGCGAGTGCTACAGGCTGTCTCCGCTGCGACTCGGTGTGCCCTCTCGTTCCCGGGTATGCCACTGTGTCCGGGTAGCCACTCGATTGTAAGTATGGTGCCCCTCGTGCGGAGCTCCACTGCCATTTTCTTTATTTGCTTTACCGTGCGACTCTTTGTTCTGCTGCATCGGCACGCACGTATTGATTCTTGTGAGTCCGTAAAATTCGTGCCTTGCCTGGCTGGGTCTGTTTCTTGAGCACGTCTTTCACCGCCGCCAAGATAGCCCTCAGTTCTGCCTCTCTGATAGAAGTCCCTTCGGAAAGTATTTCGGTGCTCTCTTCATTTCTTCGTGGATCGTACCACGACGTAGTCGTGGCGTCCTCTGTCTTGGCGGCGTCCGTGTACCGTAACTCATCTTCTGTCGCGTGCGTTTCGCACCAGCTTGCGTGTAGTCTGGCCGCTCGAGCCCGCTTCCCTTGGTTGAGAGTCTTCGGCATGGGTTTGTGGTCGGTGATGGTGTTATCTTGCCATGGAGGCTGCGGTTCCTCTAGCGGGAGCCTGTCTCGCATGTCGTATCCTAGAATTGCTAGGAGCTTCCGTCCGTGCTCTGTTCTCTCGAGCCGTTGAAATTGGGCAATGTTCTGAACCTCGGCACGCTCTTCGATAGTGTTCATCTGGGCTTCTTTCCTCAGGTCTTCTATAGCTGTGTATTTTGGAAGGCCTGTGACTGCCCTCATCAATTGGTAGTTCAACCTTTCAAGTTGCTTCCAGTGTTGTCTGGTCAGATTGAGCCAGTTGCAGCTGTACAATGCTTTGGGTGTGAGTACTGCCTCCGTTAAGATCCTGAGGGTTTTCTCGTCAGCGCCCCAGGACTTACTTGTGATCTTTCGGATGAGCTTGAGACCTTGTGCCCACCACTTCTGTAGCTCGGGTATCCACCTCGTGGTGCGCGCCGTCTCCTCGAAGGTGACTCCCAGTATCTTGATGTGTGGGCGTCTACTTATTTCCTGTCCATTGATCTCTAGTCGTATCAGGTCGGCTATTCCTTTCCTATGGTCCCTTGGTCTGGCCACAACCATGTACTGTGTTTTATCCGGTGATGGCTCCATCCCAACTTCAGAGAGATATCGAGCGACCTGATCTATACCTTCTTGCATCGTCTGTTCTTGGTCTCCCAAGGAGCCTCCGCGTGTCCAGAGCGTGACATCGTCTGCATATATGGTGAAGCCCAGACCATCGATATTCCGAAGCCTGGTAGGTAACTCTGCCATCACCATATTGAAGAGTGTCGGTGAGATCACTGCTCCTTGTGGTACACCCCTGCAGTTCGGGGTGTCGGGTCCTTTAGTGTTACCAATCTTCACTTGGAACCTTCTGCCCCGCAGAAAGTCTTGTATGAAGGCCTAGGCATTTTCCTTGGATTCCGCACCTCCTAGCTCCTTTTATGACTGCCCAGTGTGGGACGGCATCGAAGGCCTTCTTAATGTCCAGGGCGACGACGAGGCGTGGGTCTTGCTGATTTTTGTTGGCCATGACGTCCTCGTAGAGGAGCTTGAGGCTGTCCTGGGTTCCCATCGCCTCCCTGAAACCCGTTTGTCTGGGATCAAGCCTGTTGTGAGTTTCCAAGTACCACTGCAGTCTTCGGAGAACAATTTTTTCCATTGTTTTGCAAATGTTCGATGTAAGTGAGACAGGTCTTAGATTCTCTATCCTGTCTTGGAGCTTGCCTGGTTTGGGGATGGGCGTTACCCACGAGAGTTTCCATTGTCTCGGCAGCACTCCGGAGTTCCAAACTTCGTAATACCTATTCAGAAGTTTTTCTTTGGCTTCTTCGGGAAGATTCCTTAGGGCTTGGTACGTAATGCCGTCGGGACCCGGTGCGCTGCCTGTGTTGGCCGTGTATAAGGCTTCCAACAGTTCTCCCATGTTAAGCTGGTCCTCCATCCCAGGTTCTTCTGCTGCCTCAAGAATGTGGGTACTTTCGGATGTTTTGCTAGTCCTCGGCGGTGCTGTGCTAACTTGTGGAAAGAAAAGTTCGCCTGCCCTGACTGCCATTTCTTCTTCGGTTATGTTTAGTCGGAGGGCTAAGTTTTGTGCCGCATTCCTTGCCTTTCGCCTTTTACCGTCCATGCCTCTGTAGGTCCTCCAGGCTTTCCCTAGGCCGGTCTTCTCATTGAAGGATCCGCAGTGTGCCCTCCATCTCGTCCTGCCGAGCTCCTTGGAATACCTGGTGGCTTTGGCTGTGGCTATATTAAGTTTAATTTTTTGCGGTGTCGTTCTAACTTTTTTGTATTTCTGTAGGGCTTGGAGCCGGCTAGCCCAGAGATTTAACAGATGTGTGTCTGGCGTGGGGCTCCCGCGTTTCACCGAGATTTGCGTCTTCGACCCCGTGAGCGCCTCTTGTATGCAGACCTCGATGTCCCTGTCGTTGCCAATATTTTGGGTCACAATCTCTCTGAAGCGATCCCACTTGATGATAGGTCTCATCTCTCGGCCTTTCCTCCCTGCGCAGTGTGGTACCTTCAACTCGATGGGGTAGTGGTCGCTGCCCAACGTGTCCCTCCATGGCTTCCACTCGAGGGTCAGGTTCCCCATGGTCCACGTGAGATCCGGTGTGGTATCATTCTGTCTCTGCTGCTTAGCAAGCCTCGTCTTCACTCCAGTTTCATTTTGAAGCTCCAGGCCTTCCCTTCTCATAGCTTCCAGCAGTTCCCTGCCCTTTTTCGTATTTGTTGCGTACCCCCATTTTTTGTGTGGGGCATTGAAGTCCCCGGCCACAATCAGTGGGTCTCCGTCGGCTAATTCAACTAGGCCGCGGATCCAGCTTGCTGTTTCTCCGTCCTCTGGTTTGGCTCTGGGTCTGATGTATACAGAAGCGAGTACCATCTTGAGCCCGCCATGTCTGACTCTCGCTGCGACGACCTCCCTGTCGCTAGAACATAGCACGGAGGTGTCAAGCTGCGCCTGTGGTAGATTCCGAAGAACTCCGATAGCCGCCCATCCCTTCCGAGTCACCGGGTTCCTCTCCCAGGGGCTTGGGACGGTCTCGACGCGTTAAGTAAGCGGTGTCCGGGCTTCTCGTTTCTTGAAGTAATAGAAATTCTGGTGGCGCTTGTCGTTCGAAGCGCAGTTTAAGTTCCGCACTTCTTGCCGTAAACGTGCTGCAGTTCCATTGTACGATGCGGGTCACATCCGTCTTTGTTCGTCCGGTCGTCATTCTTCTAACGTCGTGCATGTCTCAGCTCTGCTATCTCTTTCTTGATTTCGCCTAGTGTCTGGAAGATCATCTTGAAGCCAAGTGATATCTCCTCTCGAAGTTTGTTGTGCTCAGTTTCTGCGTCGAAGGGTGATTTGAGCGGTCGCGTTGCCGGCACCAGAGTTGCCCTCGGTTGGGCCCATTCGGGCATCCAGGCCAGACACTTGCCCTGCTCTTCCTGAATCATTCCTTGCGTTGATCCTTGCTTGGCTTCGACCCTGGGCTGTTCTGCAGGTGGTCTTCGATTGTCCGTGGCTGCCGCGGCATAGCTTTCTCTTGGTTGGTGTTTTGGTGGCTGCTTTCGGAGTTTCGTTTTCTCGGGTATCTTCCTTTTCGGGCAGGCATTACTAGTGGCGACATGATGCCCCTCGCAGTTTCGGCACTTGGGTTCCCTGTTGCATTGTTCCATATCTTCCTCGTGTGTGTAGCCGCAATGGCCGCACCTGCTTTCTTTGATGGGGCATACATCGCTCTTGTGACCGATTCCATGGCAATTGTAACATACGACGGGCCGGGGACGGTACGGCCTCACAGTGAAGATCTCTCTGCTGAACATTACGTTCTTTGGTAGCCTAGTGCCCTCGAACGTGATGACGACCACGTTGCTAGTTTTGCCCATAAGTCTTGCGAAGACGATCTTCGCGGTTCGACATACCAGATCTGGAATGAGTGTTTCTGAGGTTTCAGAGCTGTTGTCTCCATGCAGGTAGATAACCCCGCGCACTTGATTGTGTCCCACTGCCTTGTACGGTTTCAGGGCGTATGAATCTTTGTCTTTCTTCACTTCCGTCACCTGGAGTAGTTTTTCTGTTATCTTTTCGTCCCTGGTGGTTGTATCAGCTGGCTCTCAGCTGACAAGAAAGTCAGTCCGACACTGCTGACTTCGTGAACGCAACAACATCCAAGGTTTATTTGGCATCGCTTATATAGCCGGAAACAGGGGGGCGGTACCTGCGGCATGACTCAGTGCTATAGATGACATAGCATAAGCAGAATGATAAGATTGGCATGCGGTACCATATCGGCATGATACATCCCCCTTTGTTTAGTAAGAAAGACATAAAACAACCTAGGTTAACAAACGACAAGGGGAAACAATGCTAAATAATTTGTTCGAAATGCTGCCCGTACTGCAAGCGCTTGGGTGCAACCGTAGCTCGCGTAGATCTTCTCGGCGCTGGTGGAGCCGCGTTTGGTGTTCCTTGAACAGTTTGAGGAGTTGTCTGCGCACGAGGAGTTTCGTTGGCTCTTCCTTGAGCCCCTGGATGAAGTTGTACTTCCGCTCCGGCGTCTTCAAAGTCACTGGCATCGCTGTCAGCTGACGAGTCGCGATTGAATGTTTCCGGTGTTGCCAGAAGATGCTGACGGTTCCGCCGTAGAGTTCTTCCACTTTCCGTCTCCACGTTGTACGATCTGGGCGCCGCTGTACCCGTGACCTTAGCCTTTGAAGACCAGGTCTTACTCCTCACTCGGACGACTTGTCCTTTATAGAGCGGCTGGAGTCGCTGCCCCGCGGTCTCTGGCTGGCGATGCTTCTTGACGGTGGATGCCGGCTGTAAGCTGAAGTCGGGAAGTCGCGTACGCAGGCGTCTGCCTTGCAGCAGCTCTCCCGGCGCACGGCCGTCCTCTAGAGGGGAAGAACGGTAGCCGAGTAAGCCCAACCAGAAATCTTCACGCGCATCTCCAGTTTTCTTTAGGAGCCTCTTAATAATCTGTACGCCCTTCTCCGCGAGACCGTTGGAACGAGGAAACTCGGGGCTTGAGGTGATGTGCTTAAAATCATATCGGTTGGCAAAGGCGGCAAAGTCCCGGCACGAAAACTGGGGTCCATTATCTGTGCAAACCTCCACCGGAATTCCGTATCTTGAAAAGATGGCACACAGTTTGCCGATAACCGTGCTTGCAGACGTGTCGCCGAGCTTTTCAACTTCTGGAAAGTTGGAGTGTGCATCAAACACTGCGAGGTACGCACTTCCGGCGTAATGAAAAAGATCTACACCGACCCTGTACCAGGGATAATCCGGAACTTGACGAAGCAAAAGTGGTTCGCTTGGTTGCTTGTATGCATAAGTTGTACATGCGGCACACTTTCTTACAAGCGACTCAATGTCTGAATTTAGGCCTGGCCAGAAAACTAGACGTCGTGCCCTAGCCTTGCACTTGTTTAAGCCCAGATGGCCTTCGTGAATCCGTCCGAGCATTTCCGGTCGTAGTTTCTTGGGAACGACAACTTTGCACCCTTTCAACAAAATTCCTTCCACTACGGAAAGGTCCGAAGCGAACGGTTTAAGTTCCCCTTCGACGGCTTTATTGCTGGATATGTTTTCGACAACCTTTTGCAACTCTGGATCCTTGCGGGTTTCTTCAGCGAAACGCAGTTTTGTTGCTTCACTTACTAAGGATGACAGAATGCCGACAGCATGTACCTGAACGTCGATAAAGCCAGCGGTGTCCCCTGACGCAGCAGGCGCCGCCCTTGAGAGCATGTCAGCCAGGACCAATTCTTTGCCTGGAATAAACTGTAGTTTGTAATCGTAAATCATCAGGCGAAGGAAAAAACGTTGCAGTCTTGGTGGCATGTCCCCTATGTCCTTCGATGAAATAGCGATAAGAGGTTTATGATCAGTTTCTATGAAAACGCGCCGTCCATAGATGAAGTGATGGAATTTTTCACAGCCGTACGTAATTCCCATGGCTTCTTTTTCAATCTGTGAGTAACGACTTTCCGCCTCTGTCATTACCCGGGAGGCATAGGCAATAGGACGCCAGCTACTACCATGACGCTGCAGTATCGCCGATCCGAGGCCATCCTTTGAGGCGTCTGACGTTATCTTTGTTTCTTTTGTGGGGTCAAAAATCGCTAGTAATGGTTCTTTGCCGAGTGCTTCGCAGAGCACAGTCCATTCTTGTGCGTGGTTTTCTGTCCATTCGAAGACAGTGTCCTTACGTATTAAACTTCGTAGAAGCTTTGTTTTCTCGCTGAGCGCAGGTAAATATTTTCCAAAATAGTTTACCACTCCCAACATCCGCTGTACGCCGAGCTTATCGGTTGGTGCTGGCATCTCGCGCAGGCAACTCGCCAACCTATGATTTGGGCGGATTCCGACCTCGCTTATCACGTCCCCCAGGAAGGAAATTTCCTGCACGCCGAACTTGCACTTTGCCAAGTTGAACGTCAAGCCCGCTCGTTCCGCTTCACGGAGAGTGACCTTGAGGCGCTCGTCATGCTCGTGTTTAGAGCTTCCCCACACCAAAATATCGTCTATGTAAACCCTTACTCCTGGTAATGGGTCAAATATCTCGCTCAGAGTTTTCTGGAATACCTCGGGTGCTGACGAGATTCCAAACGGAAGCCTAAGGAAACGGTAGCGACCGAACGGAGTGCCGAACGTACCGATCCTTGACGTAGCTTCGTCCATTGGAATCTGATGATTGTGAAGAAAAAAGATGGCTGCCATCTTTTTTCTTCACAATAACAAGAGGGCTTACCCAGTCAGTGGGTTCATCCACTTTCCGGATGATGGTGGCCTTCTCCATGCGCTGCAGTTCTTCCCGCAGGGGCTCTCGCAGTGCCAAGGGCACCCGTCGTGCAGGCTGAACCACTGGCACGGCATCGTCATGTAGTACCATTCGGTACCGTCGCTTTACGCAGCCGGTGCCTTGGAACAGGTGGGCGAATTCTTGGGTCACCGGAACGGCGCTGCCCGTGCTTACAGAGTTCACCGTTCGGGACACCAGTCCCAGGAGCTCACTTGCCTGTAGCCCGAGAATGGCCTGACTTCGTTTAACAATGAAAAAGTCGACGCGACAGTGATGCTGGTTGATCGTAACCTCCTGTGTTGTGACGCCGCAGTGTTTGATGATATTGCCGCTGTACGAGCGCAAGACCGCGTGGCTTGGTCTTAAAAACGGCTTAGGGTGCAGTCTCTTGTACACCGACAGGGGCAACAGGTTGGCTTGGGAGCCGGTGTCTACCTTCAGCGAGACCACTTGCTCCGCTAGCTGGGCCTTGACAATCCAGTCCCGTTCCTTCTCGATGCCACAAACACCCAGGTCCAAGATGTCGAAGCCCTCGTCGTCGTGCTTCACCTCGCTGACTTGTTTGTTGCAAGAAGCTGCGAAGTGGTTGCGCCCCTGACAGGCATAGCAAGTCTTCCCAAAAGCGGGGCATTTCCTCTTTTCGTGCCTCCTGTTGCACTTGAAGCACTGTTCGGTTCTTGAAGCATCTGAGCGGCGCTGGTAGCCTTTTGTGGTTGAGTCCACCTTTTCTTCGTGGGCATACCATGCTTCATTTTGTTTAGCGGAGGCTTCTGCGGCTTTGCAGGTTTGTTCTGCTTTCTGGAGCGTCAAATCCTTTTCCCTAAGCATTTTTTCCCGTAACTTTTTGTTGTTAGTGCCGAAGACGATTTGATCGCGAATCATTGAATCTGAAAGTTGTCCGAAGTTGCAGTACCTTGCTTGTTTCCTGAGGACGCGGATAAACTGCTCCACCGGTTCCGCCTCGTCTTGCGTTCTTGTCCGAAATACGTATCTTTCGTACACCTCGTTCTGCTGGTCCGCGCAGTAGTCCTCGAACTTTGCGACAAGGGTCTTGTAATCCTCCTTGCTTTCACCCTCAGCGAAGACGAAGTTATTGAAGATCTCTAGGGCGTCATCACCGGCGATAGTCAAAAGTGTGGCCGCCTTGGTAGCTTCCGTTCTTGGTTTGTCTGGCGCCGTCGCTTGCAGGTACAGCTCGAACTTCTGTTTGAAGAGCGTCCAGTTCTTCTGAACGTTTCCCGACAGGAGCAAAGGGTCGGGCTGCTTGAGTGGTTCCATGACTGCCTCCTGCTGACGGTTCTGGTGTGGTCGCGTGGGCCACTTCTGACACCATGTATCAGCTGGCTCTCAGCTGACAAGAAAGTCAGTCCGACACTGCTGACTTCGTGAACGCAACAACATCCAAGGTTTATTTGGCATCGCTTATATAGCCGGAAACAGGGGGGCGGTACCTGTGGCATGACTCAGTGCTATAGATGACATAGCATAAGCAGAATGATAAGATTGGCATGCGGTACCATATCGGCATGATACAGTGGTGAGCGCGATAGTATTAGCTCTGGGCTGAATTTGAATCTTGTAGTCTTCGGATTCTGCGATTCCCGCCTCTGCTACGGCTCGCCTAATTTCCCTCGCTGTAAAGTTCTTAACGTTCTCTTTGCAGATGGGCTTGAGAACGACGGTTTGCACGGACGCCTGAGTTTCCTGCGTGTTTTCCGCAGCTGTTATGTCGTCCGATTCTACATTGGTCCACTTCGGACGTTTCCTCCTGCGCTTATTCGCGACTAGGTACTCGATGTCGTCTCCGGCATTCCCTCCCATCATGACAGTACCAGTGCCGTCAGGCTGAACTTTGCTTCCCTTAGCAAAGGGCTTTCCCAAATTTTGAGATTCTTCCAGCGTCGGAAACTCGTGTAAAAAACAAGAGCTCACCTGCTCATTCGCGGCGCCCTGCGGACTTGAGCTTCTGGTTAGGTTCAATGTCCCTTGAGCGTAATTGACTAGAAGTCCAGTTATCAACTTTCCGTTGTCTTCCTTGGCAATTCCCAAATGCATGAGAAGTCCGGTGTCAAGTTGGATATTGATGGTCGTGACGTTGGGCGTGGGCAGCTGCGTCAGATCTGTTGAGGTCTGAGGACCGCCGGTGCCAGAGGTTAGGCTTACCACGGTATCCATGTTCTTAATTTCCAAATTCGCCGAAATTGACCCCTTGGGGTTCAAAATCGCTGGTCGGGGGGTCCCTTGGTGGTCCATGCATTGTCCTCGTTGATTGGAGTTGTGTCCGGGGGGCTAGCACCCCCCAAACAGGATACAGAAATCGCTTTCGGCGGAGCGCAAAAAAGAAAACACGTCTGCCCTCAGCAATTAGAAGAAGACGAATTCCCTTTGAAGCCTTGAAATACTTGTTTTCAAGATGCAGG